TGTTGTTGTTGCTTATACTGCTGCTGCTGGTAATGCTGCTGCTGCTGCTAATACTCCTGCTGCTGCTAATGCTGCTGCTGCTGCTAATGCTGCTGCTGCTGCTAATGCTGCTGCTGCTGCTAGTGCTGCTGCTGCTGCTGCTAATACTGCTGCTGCTGCTAATGCTGCTGCTGCTGCTAGTGCTGCTGCTGCTAATACTGCTGCTGCTGATGCTGCTGGCGGCGTTGCTGATGCTGCTACTAATACTGGTGGTGTTGGTAGTGCTGCTGGTACTGCTGCCACCTATTTTTTTCTGTTTCTTTTGTCTTTTTGTCTGCTGTTTGTTTTTTATTTTTTTATTTTTTTATTTTTTTTATTTTTATTTACCTTTTCTCTGTCCTGCCGCAGCACCTCCAGCTCCTGCGCCGTCAGCAGCCGTTTCCTTTCCTCTCGCAGCTTCTTTATCTCCAGCCTGAGCAGCAGCAGCAGCAGCAGCAGCAGCAGCAACAGCAGCAACAGCAGCAGCAGCAGCAGCAGCAGACACAGCAGCAAAAGAAGCTGAAGGTATACCTTAGGGTGCTGCATATACACCCCAGCACCCGACAGCAACACTGACACCAAACCCTAAACCCTCAGGAGACCAAACCCTAAACCCTCAGCATACACCTAAACCCTCAGGAGACACCTAAACCCTAAGGAGACACCTAAACCCTAAGGAGACCAAACCCTAAACCCTCAAGAGACAGAAGAAAAAAAAGGAGACAAAAGAAGAAGAAAAAGGAGACAGAAGAAAAAGGAGACAGAAGAAAAAGGAGACAAAAGAAAAACCAGGAGACAAAAGAAAAAAAAGGAGACAAAAGAAAAAAAAGGAGACAAAAGAAAAAAAAAGGAGACAAAAGAAGAAAAAAGAGACAGAAGGAAAAGAAGGAAAAACAGGAGACAGAAGAAAAAGGAGACAAAAGAAAAAAAGGAGACAAAAGAAAAAAAAAAGGAGACAGTTGCTGGTGTACATGCGTTGAGCTTCGTCGTTGAATTCGGTCATCTCCTTCCGGGCTGAGGCCGCCTGAGCCTGAGGAGACTCATAAACCCTAAACCCTAAACCCTAAACCCTAAACCCTGATTTACTACAGACACACACACGTTCTCAGCAGCAGACAGAGACGCGTGGAGACTGTCTCCTCTGGCTGCGGGGACAGGAGACAGGAGACAGAAGAAAAGAGATAAAATAAAGGAGACAGAAGAAAAAAAACAAAATTAAAGAGACTGAAGAAAGGAGACAGATTGGGGGAGACAAACAAAAGGAGACAGTAGAAAGGATACAGTAGAAAGGATACAGCAGAAAGGAGACACACAAAAGGAGACAGGAGAAAGGAGACAGCAGGAAGAGGAGACAGCAGCAAGAGGAGACAAACAAAAGGAGACAAACAAAAGGAGGCAGCAGCAAGAGGAGACAACTGCGAGAGGAGACAGTAGAAAGAGGAGAGAACTGAAAGGAGACAGCAGCAAGAGGAGACAGAAGCAAAAGGAGACAGCAGCAAAAGGAGACAGCAGCAAAAGGAGACAGCAGCCAGAGAAGACAGCAGCCAAAGGAGACAAACAAAAGGAGACAGCAGCAGGAGGAGACAGCAGCAAGCGGAGACAGCAGCAAGCGGAGACAGCAGCAAGCGGAGACAGCAGCAAGCGGATACAGCAGCAAAAGGAGACAGTAGAAAGAGGAGACAAACAAACAGCAGCAAGAGGAGACAGCAGAAAGGAGACAGCAGCAAAAGGAGACAGCAGAAAGGAGACAAACAAAAGGAGACAGCAGCAAAAGGAGACAGTAGAAAGAGGAGACAACGTACAAGCCTGGCTCTTTCCTGTGTCTCCCAGAGCTCTAAATTATAAAATTTTTTGTGCGGCAGCGAAGCTGTGTTGAAGTCCTCCGCGTAGTCAGCAAACAGCTTCTTCTCCTCCTATACAAAAAAAAAAATATATATATATATTTATTTATTTATTTTTTTTTTTTATGGGGATATGTTTATTAATATATATATTCATATATATTTATAAATGTAAATACGTTTATAGTATAATACACTCAACACAACAAACAGACAACACCTCGCTCCGCCTCAATATATTATCTCTGTCTCTACTAAACCCTAAACCCTAAACCCTCAAAAAAACAAAAGCAACCAAAAGGAGACAAAAAAAAACAAAGAGGAGACACCCCACAAGAGACTAAACCACGTATGTCTTCGCCCCCTATGCACACCCCAAACCCTAAACCCTAAACCCTAAACCCTAGACTGTAAACCCTTACCTGTAAACGCTGACCCCCAAGACCCTAAACCCTAAACCCTAGCTCCCCAACCCTAAACCCTCAACCCCCCAAACCCTCCCCGCTACCCCGAAACCCTAACCCCTCCCCCCCAAACCCTAAACCCTAAACCCTAAACCCTAAACCCTAAACCCTAAACCCTCGTGAGCGTACCCAGTTGGATAAAGACTCAATGTTTTTGTCTTTAACCTCCATCAACCACAAAGTAAACTCCGGGCGTTTTCGCCACATATCTGTTTCATTTATAATGCCGTAGCGGCCCCAGCGGTTGCCCACAGCGCCAAACGCTGAACCTGCGTATACACCCCAAAACCCTAAACCCTAAACCCTAAACCCTAAACCCTAACTTTTTTTTTTTTTTTTTTTTTTTTTTTTTTTTTTTTTTTTTTTTTTTTTTTT